TTTTCTAAACATATGAAATGTTTTCTAAATTTTTTTCTTTTTTGAAATGAGTTCTTTTAACACTTTCTCTCTTCTTTTTTCTATGTAACAATTGATAACAATGACAACATTAGCATTGGTGGTGTGGCGCAATCCTAAAGGGTTTTTGAGTATTTTTCTTGTATTGTGAGGTGCATGAAGAAATTTGATGGGGGCATGAGGCAATTGTCAATTTCTGAGTGTGAAAAATATATTGTTAAAGTCCATTTCAAAATGAATAAAAAAATATTTTTTTTTATTAAAAATTAATCATATCTTAATGGAGGACATTACAGGTATTTTAAAAAAAATTGTAGATGTATGGTAAAACTGAAGTGCAGGTGAAACGCCCAAATTTATAAAGGCAAGGAAGAAACAATGGACACTGCTTCCTTCACCTCCATGTTTTCTTCCTCACCCCATAATTTTTAAAGTTCCAGCTGTACCCTTATTGGCAGAGGAAATGGATGGGTTTGAACGGATGAAAAGGATGGGGTTGAATGGAAGAAAACGATAGGGTCAAGGGTGTTGCTCCCTCCACCCCCACACATCTCTTCCTCCACCTTTCCTTTACTATTTTGCCCCTCAGTAAAATTTTATTTTTAAAATTGTTGTTTTTTAATTTTATTCATTTATAACATATTTCACTGATAACCTACGTAGTTTCTTGTATGAGTAAAATATTTTTCTACAAAGCTTGGTGATCGTGAAAAGAATTATCAAACAATCTTCTTCTTGTTCTCGGTGCAGTACGTGGTGCAGTGCGTTTATGGTGTAGTGTCCTTGTCGTGGTTCCTCTCCAGGTACGTAGTCATAATCCTTCCAATAATCCTAAACCCTAAATCCTTCCCATACTTCCAATAATCCTTTTAATATCCAAGCCTATAATCCTTGCATGAGCCGCAAAACGTAGTAAAATAAAAACGAAACGTAAAAGGAACACTGCCTATGGACGGATGACATCCTTCAACGGATGTCAACATCCGTTTAAGGCAAAACGGATGTCGACATCCGTTTTGCCTTAAACGGATGTCGACATCCGTTTTGCCTTAAACGGATGTTGACATCCGTTGAAGGATGTCATCCGTCCATAGGCAGTGTTCCTTTTACGTTTCGTTTTTATTTTATTTGTTTATTTTATTTACAGTAATTTATATTTAAATTTATAATTTTAAATGTTATATATGGTTAGTTTTTAAACGTAATAATTTTGTTAAAATATGAATTTGTTAAAATATGAATTTGTTATAGGTGGAGAAGAAGCTTAACGGAAGAGAGAAAGGTAAACGAAAATGGAAGAGAGGAAGAGGTGCAGAGGGAAGTAAATTAGAAGTTTTAAATAAATTAAAATATTAAAATAATAAAAATAAAAAATTTTAACTTTTGAGGATATAATTGTCATTTTAGAAGGATATAATTGGCATTTTAGAAAATTGTGGAGGTGGAGGAAGAGACGTGTTGGGGTGGAGGGAGTAACACCCTAGGGTCAAATGGAGGAAATTGATGGGTTTAATGGAAGAAAAGAGGGTCGGGATCCATTTATGCTTGCAGCATGGACTTTAAAAAATATCATGAGAGTTGCTTCTTCCACCACCACACATTACTCCCTCCATCTCTCCATTCCCTTTTTGTCCTCAATAATATTTCATTTTTATTTTTTATTTTTTTACTCAACAATCAATCCTTTCGTTAATGGTTCCACCACTGTATCAATGCACCTCCACAACAGTCCACTGATTCCGTTGAATGAAATTCCTTTGGATCTTTTTCTCCCTTTAATTTTTGTTTGCTGAAATTGTGGTGGTGTAGCATGGGGATATTGTGGTGTGTTTGGTTGGAGATAGCATTGATTCGTTGCGGTGCAAAAATGTTCTCTAGTGATTAGAGGCAGTAGCAAAAAAGTTTTGGAGTGGTGCAAGAAAAAGAAGGTGCAAGGGTGGGAGTGCTTCGTCTGGTCGTTGAAGGCGGTCCGCGTTCTTCACAAGTTTTCTGAATATATAAGCCTATCACCGTAACGAATGTGGGTATTCGTTGGAGTCTTAAACGAATGTCAACATTTGTAGACGGATATCGACATTCGTTCAAGGCCAAATGGATATGCTACATCCGTTGAGGCCTGATCGGTTATCTTCTTCCTCTCCACACACAAAAAACGCACAGCGACCAAACATAGAAAATGCACAGGAACCAAACATACATCACACAAGATATTCCAATACATTAAAATTAAAATGAAATATCTATCATGACCAACCTCTCTCGTGGACCCAAAAAATGTACACAGTAGACGCACACACAAAACACCATCATCACATAACCAAGAGACCAAAACGAAGAAGAAAGAACAAATGAAATGGAAATGCTATGGAGAAAAAGGGTTGGGAAGAAACGGATCTGGAGGAGAAAAGGAGTTTGGAACGGATCTGGAGAAGGAGAAAAGTTTGAAAGTGAGAGTTTGGGGAGGTGGGGTTGCGCCACTTTGAGTGAAAATAAGGTAGGCATTTAGGATTTTGATAAAGAGATAAAAAAGTAAAATATTAAAGTAAAATGGATAGTTTTGTAATTAAATTTTTTTTGGAAAGGTATAGGGAGTTGTTGGGATGGTGGAAGGAGCAACTCTCATTGTAATGTATTTTTTCTAAAATACATTTTGAATTTATTTTTAATTTAAAAGTATATTTCAAATTATACAATTTAGAATATATTAATTTTTTAAATTTATTTTAAATTAAGCAATGTAGAATATATTTCTGCATTTGGAAATTTGGAATATTGTTATTTTTCTAAAGGATTAAATATATTTTTAATTATTAAAATTTAGCGTAAAATTGTAATTTGTCTCTATTTAAAATTTTAATATATTTTGGTTTCTACACTTTAAAAAATAAATGGATCTATTATTTTTTTGGATTAAAAAAATTATATCTATTCGTTTTAAAAGTTTGGAGACCAAAATATATTAAAATCTCATACATAATGAATTTTAATTTCACATCAAAATTAAGGAACTAAAAACATATGTAATCCTAAATTGTTTTTATTAAGGGTAAAATGGTATTTACCTTATTTCTCCTTTTTATTTTTTTAATTTTACATAAAGTTTGTGTTATTTAGAAGTCACATTTTAATATCATTATAAGTCTCCTTGGGCACTTTCTTTACTGACGTCATTTTTCTCACATTGACCACATGTGTATATTCTATATGATGACTTTTCCATTTTCTTCTCTCACCAATTCATCGTTTTCACATGATTCTACGTTTATTAACATTTTTACCCTTGAAACAACTTTATCTATAGATAGTAATACGATCCTATCTAGAAAAAATTTATAATTGTTTTTGAATTTGGATTCCTTCTGTAAAATAGATAAGATTAATAAGAGAATACCAAACATATAAAATAGGAATGCAGAATAATAAAAAGATGAATAGATGTCATAATTTAACAAATTCATTAGTCAAGGAATATTCGCCACAAAAATTTCAATCTTTGATTAAAAAAAAAAATGATGTTTTATAATAAGAACCAAGAGAATCTTCTCTTAAATGAAATTAATTTCATAAATTGACCAACCATAGGTGTCTTGTATTTGTCTTTGAGAAATATATAAATAAACTTAAATGTTACAATCATGCAACAGAATGTTCCGGTGTGAACAAAAACTAAGAGGCTTTAATTGATTTGCTTAATAAAATTATGCCTTTTAAAAAATTTTGCTTTTTATAAACTAATTTTAAAACAAAAATTGATTCTTTTTAAATATAACAATAAAGATAAGGAATGTAGGGAAAGAGAAATTTACATTAGTTTTATATTGATTCAAATCAAAAGACTCTACATTCCATTGTTAATCTCTCGAAAGAGGGATTAATCAATCACTAACAAATAACTACAACTTACAATCAGAAAATAAAGATTAAGATAGAAAGCACCTTTCTTGAAGACACAAGAGATGAATAACACTTCTTTTATTTAATATACAAAGGATGAATAACATCCCTTTGACACAAAAAGGATGAACAACACCTCCTTTGACAGACAAAGGATGAACAACTTTCTTAACAACAAAAACACTCAATTACTTAAGATACACTTGGTGAAAGTTTTTGCTCTATCCACACTAAGTTTTTCCAAAGTCCTTTTTCACAAGAGTTTTTCTAATAATCAGAGCTCTAAGTGAAAAGTTAGTTGAAATATAAGGGACTCGTCATCCAACAACATACTTGTCACCAAGCAACTACTCGTTCAATCAGGAAATTTTCCAATCTACAAAACCATAATTAGATGTTCACCAACAAACTTCAAAACTTTAAAAGAAAATTACAATGACTCAAGTATTCTAGAAGTGAACTATAAGCTATAATCATAATTTTTGAGTTTTTAACTTCTTGTATCATCATGAACATTGAAGAGATTTGTTTGTCTTATCTATTACTTATTGATTTTGTTATAAATCCTTTGAATCATCTGTTATATCTCTTTCTATTTTTATTGTGTTGATTTTGGGATAGTCTTATGTCATGTAACCATCATCAACACCAAAGAGTGTAAAAACAAAATTAACTTTTGGGATGTTCAATTTCAAAAGAGATGATAAGCATTAAAGATAGACTTTTTAATTTTTACAAAACTTATAATCCCATCTTGTGATGGTGAACATTTTATATCTCTCACTTGTAGCAATAGGTTTGCCGGGATAATCAAGAAAACATTTGAAGTGGGAATAACAAATTCAGATGACTCGTTAACACGGAATAAGCTTAAGATGCTGATTTCATGGTCTTTTCTGCTCAAATCAACTACGGTAAATAGTTCTGAAAACAGTGACAGATTCCCTAGAGATTGAGGAACTTACGGGTATGCACGATCTTATTCAAAACCCTTTATACGTTAAAATAGTTTATCCAGATCACCTCATTCACATCTTTAAACTTGTATCAACAAATCATAGATACTTTACAGTGAAAGGAAAATTTGATGAATGCCTCAAAAAGAAAGATATTTTGATGCGTGTCCCCAAATACAGATATATAGTACAGCGCATTAAGATGATAAACAATTATACATTTTAATAACTAATTTGTTTGGTCGTTTCTCTTGTATTTGTATCCTATTCTTTTCCATGAATAAATTACAAGCTCCTGGAGCAATGTGCAGAAATAGACCAGCAAGCCCTTGAATACTGAGCGTGAAGGGTTCAGAAGGAGAATCAATCTTCGAGTTGTAAGCATCTGGAACATTCTGCAAACATGCAAAATTGATTCCTTGGTTGGCGATTGTATAGTCCAATAGAGGGCAGAAGCCAAACATCTTCCTCACCAAAGTTCTCCTTTACGAAACTGAGTTGGTACTTGAATCTTTAAGACCCTATAAGCCAGTAAAAAATTTCAGACATAAGTTTAATTATAAAACACAAATAAAAGAAAATTTAGTTAAAAACCATCACAAAAATGTACATAACTAACCAGCCGTTTGAACGATCTATTGAATGAAGTTTTCTTTGAATTCTCAACGTCTGGTTTGGCACGATCAAGAGCCTACAAAACAAGTGCAGTGAAACTCGACACATCATTAAAGGGAAAATGACCACCAACACATATGCCAATGCAGCAGAAGTTCACTTCAACTGTACAAATTTTTCAATGGATAAAATATAGCGTGTGGTATTTTAGTTGGGCCCTAGGATGCCAGTTATATCTTCCAAATTAAGTGCGTTCCTTTGCAACAACCAGAAGCCGGTGTTAGAACAAAATATGAAAAGACAGGGAACATTCCCTGATCATAAAAAGCTTTTCAATGAAGCATATACCTAAACCATTACGTAATATCCAGTATCAAACATATTTTACTGCAATGTCAAACAAAACTGAAGCACTAAAAGATTTTTAGTAATCACAAAGTTAACTTCAATAAGTAAATAAAATGTAAGGGTACCTGAATCAAGGACTCCACACGACGCCGCATACGTGTATGCATAAATCCTTCCGAGCACTGTCACAAATATGCATAACGTAGATCAGGATGCAACATCATTTATGCAGGTTTTGTTAAAAAAAAAAAAGATTACTGGCCAGACAAGTAAGCTTAAGCTTCTCTAACTCTTCCACAATACCCCACTTACAATGGAAGTGATCGAATCTATATTAAACCATATAATCTCTCCATAACTTTCCACCAATGTCCCTCTCTGTTTCTAAATAAAAATTATACTTTAAACAAGTTAAATTAAATGCAAAAGTATTTTTATAGAACAAGAAAATATTTTTTTGGTTTTATTTAAGATCCAATAAAATCCTTCACAGCTAAATATTTCAGAGTAAAATATTTGTTTATCATTTCAAACTATTATTCCTTAAGAGACAAAGATGATAGTTTAAATCCCAAGCTAAATAATGCATAACAATAATAGTTCAGGCAAGAGATGGCAACAACTTCATGATAACAAATTAAGATCAGCAAGTACATTGTCATAACAATACTGAATAATATCTATGCAACTGAAATATTTGGTTTGAAGAAACCCACACCTTAACATGATAGCTAACGTAGGCATGAAAAGTTGACAGATTCCATACTGTACGATCCAATTTATGACCTTCAACATGACGGGGGAAAATAACTGCAGAGTCGACCATATTGCAGTGACATTAGCAAGAGAAAAAAAATCACACACATATACGTTGGGAACCTGACACTAACCAAATGTCACAAATCCTGCATTTGCAGATAATGCATCAGAAGGAACTCCTTTTATTTCCAGTGGAGGAGTAAGAGACCACGAACAAGGAGGGGTATTATGAAGTCCTGCTGTACGCCTGGCTTCCACAAATTCCTAAATTACGAACAAATCTTGAAAATTGAAACCATCAAATCATCCAAGAGTAGCAAAGCACAACACAAGAATGGTTTGCAAAATGCAACAAATTGAGACTTGTATCTCTCTCCCTGCTCTCACTAATCCCTATGACCTTAGATGTGTGATAGCGAAGAAACCATACCTGCAGGAATGAAGTTGCCAGAACAATGTCTATTGAATCGTTGAATCTCATAGGATACACCACAGTCACCTTGTCAGCCTGAAAAAAAAAACGTTTCATCAACTGATTTTTCCATTTTCAAATTAAAAGATTTATTTTTTTTATTTTATCATTTTATTTATTCCCATAGCATATTTGCACAAAACACAAAAAAAAAACACTATTATTTCCTATTTTAACCTTTTAATGGTCATAATTTGATGGCAATTCAATGAAATTTGTAACTTCTAAACTTTGTTTTACCCCATTTGTAATTAATTGAGTTTAATTCAGGGATGTAGTTATTATTATTTTGATCCCTTTTAATTTTTAATTCAGATAGAAGCCAAGCCAAGTAGGTATTAATTCAAGAATATGTGCAACTGTAAATTCGTTGAGCAAATCATAATTCACCATTTGAATTCATTGCAGAGAGATCCTGAAACTTGAAGTAAAAGTGAGGTGGAGAAGATTGTTTCCTTTGGAGCATAAACCTCTAAGTGAATCCCATTTCACTCAGCAAATCTTGTGGAGGAAAATTTTCGGCAAATGAACTTTTGAAGATTCACTCAGTAATTTACAATCCTCTTATTAATGAAATTATAAAACTTGTCAAGTCCCCCTATATTGTAACAGTAACACACAAATAGCATTCATGGGCATGGAAGCCAAGCACTGAGAGATACAAAGAGGCAGAAGAAGACTCTTTAGAGGTTGGGACGCACCCATTGGAGACTCTTTTATTCTCCCTTCTATGATTTGTAATCTTGATTGGTTACTCACCATGAATAACTAATCTACTTTTTGTTGCAATTAAATTTAATAAATCCAAACTCTAATGTATTTATACACATACACACAAGATTTTCTCCACTCATCTTTGTTAGTGATTTATTTAATACTCTTAATGCTTGTTATGTTTGAAAAATCATAACTTGATTCTAGATTTCAAGATTCATAGGAAAAATGATATTTTGTAATGCTTTAAATGGGTCACCTAATGAACCAGATTGCTAGATATAGAGTTTGGTCATTGGTTGCTTATTTTGCAATTCCTAAAGTTGGTTCTTAGGATGATTCAAGAGTGTTAAACTCTAGGTGAGAGAAAAACATGAAGTTGACCTTTCTAAGACAGCATTTATATTGAGAAAAAGGAATTAATACAATAAATAGAGAAAATTTAATATGTTTGAATAACAAAGATATGGGAATAATTAAAAATGTTCCTGATATAACATTTATAATCTAGATATTCTTTTAAATCATAGAAGTTGGATGTGCCTAGCTTGGTACAAATATAATTGATCTTCGGTCCTCTTAGAGACTTGACAAATATGTCAAGTCAGTTTATTATTACTGTTGACAAAGCTAGTGGTGACGTTTCCAAACTCGAATCTTTCTCTTATGAAATGACAATCAAATTCAATATGTTTGCTCCTCTCATGAAAAGCAAGATAGTAGACAATATGTAATGTTGTTTTGTTGTGAAATACAAGGTGCATTTGGGTACTTTCATCAAATTTAAGCTCTTCGAGGAGTTGTTTAACCCATATGAGCTCACAAGTGACTAATGCTATTGCCCTATATTATGCTTTTGCACTTGATCTTACCACAGTACTCTATTTCTTACTTTTCCATGATATTAAATTTACTCCAACAAGAACACCATACCTTGAAGCGGAATGTCTATCACTTGGTGACCCTGTCTAGTATGCATCAAAATATCCATCAATTCAGTATTTCCCTTATTTCCATAAATAAGGCCTTTTCCAGGAGCCTTCTTAGGATTTGTATGGTTGCATCCTAATAGTCTTGACAAGTAGAGCTTAAATATTGATTTACTACAACCACTACAAAAGTGATCTCAAAGCAAGTGATAGTGAGGTAATTTAGATTACTAACTAACCGTATGTATTACCAAGGATCAAAATATAGTCGTCCTTGGTTAGGAATGAGTTTGACACTTGGATCATAGGTGTGTCCATAAGCTTAGTATTTATCACCATGTTTTTCCTATAATGTCAAGAGCATACTTTCTTTGAGATATGACCAAACCATTCTATGACCAAACCATGATCTTTTGATTGAAACTTTTGACCATGATATTGTTTTAGTTGTACAATACCCTTCTTATGAAAGGTCAAGCTGATACAATAGGCATTGCAATCCGAAGAATTTTACTCGGAGAAATAGAGGGAACATGTATCACACGTGTAAAATCAGAGAAAATACCACATCAATATTCTACCATAATAGGTATTGAAGAATTAGTACATGAAATTTTCATGAATTTGAAAGAAATTGTATTGAAAAGTAATATGTATGGAACACAGGATGCATTGATTTCTTTCAAAGGTCCTGATATATAACCACTCAAGACATCATTTTATCACCCTCAGTGGAAATTGTTGAAAATAGACAACATATAACCAATGTCCATAACCTGTTAATTTGTGTATTGAATTAAAAATTGAGAGAAATCTTGGGTATTGGATAAAAACACTAAAAAACTTTTAAGACGTAAGTTATGATATAGATGCTAGATTCATGCCTGTTCGAAATGTAAATTATAGTATTCATTCTTATGTCAATGGGAATGAAAAACAAGAAATACTTTTTCCTCGAGATATGGACAAACGGAAGTTTACACTACCTGTGATAACAATATCAACCACATACACAGTGAGACAAATACATGCATGGGGAAAATGACAATAAAACATACACAAAAACACGTGGAGAGATATGAAAGAGGGGATGTTTGGAAATAGAATGGAGTAGGGAACTCTATTTTCAAGTGAAGAAGAATGTATTATGGTACCGAGAAAATAGGTAGTCAAGATAGCATCAAACTAATAATGAACAGGAATATTTGCACCAAGCAATAAGATGCTAGCCGTGTCAACTAGGTGTATGAGGACAAGTAGACTGATGCAAAATTTCATGTTATCTAAGAGTTTAGATAAATTAAAGGAAAAATATTATTTAGCACTATGGTTTTTGTAAGATTTTGATTACCTTTCCAAACTGATTTCAAATTTCATAACGATCTTTCACTAGGTAAATCCAAGTTGTTGACAAACTGGGAGTAGTAGATGATTAGGCTACGCTATTGTTGGATTTCAACCTTAAATATTCATGGTATTCTTCATTAGAGAATTTTGGTTCAGAACCTTTAGATTTAGAAATATTGGTTGTCTTGTAAGGAAAGCCATGTCAAGAGTACCAATTCTCTTGGATGTGGCCCATTTGTTTACAATATATGCATAAAGAATATCCTTTATCACCATGCCTCCTCTAGTGCCGCCATTTCCTTTTCCACGAGCAGAAATCATGACAAAATACTTAGTAAATTCTTGAATATTCATATTCTTAAGAGTTGGAACACGCATGAGTCATGTTATCGAGTTTTCCATAGAAGGAACTTCTTGATAAGTTAAAATTTTATTTGTCAATTTTTTTATCCCATCTAATGAGTCAACTTCCAAGAACATCTTCAGTTCCTCAACCATCGATTGAACTTCACCAATAAAAGACATTATGTCATTATTAGACTACTTAAGAGAGGCCAATTTATTAGCCGAATCATACAGGCTTTGGAAATCATTTGCAAAAATATTACGGGTCTTTTTCCAAAAGGAATTACATGTTTTGAATGACCTTAGTGCCCAAAATGTTGGCCTCTACTAATTGCCAAAGTAGAGCACAAAGCTGAAATAAGTTTTCTTCCACGGTTGAATTTGATTTGGAGGTACCAAACTCCCATCTTCTAAATGATCATGGAAACCTTGGCCAACTCAACTAAAGAATACCAAGATAGATAGTTTTTTCCATTTAAATTTCAAAAGTCATGCAAGGAATTTTGGAAAAAGAGGAGATAGTCCCTGAAAACATGTTGAACAAGGTAAAGGCAAGGACACAATCCATAAATGCAACAAAGAAGAACAAAGGCAACCTAGGCTTTCAAGAGAGAGAAACCTAGGGTTTAAAGGAGAGAAATCGTGATCAACACTAGAAGCCTCACCAAATGGTCCTGGAACTAAGAACAAAAGGGAAAAAAGGGCTCACAGTGCTCCAGCAAGTCAAACAGTGTGGGTCTGAAAAGATTCTGACCACTAGAAGGCAACACATGAGACACGTGTGTCTAGGGCAGCAGCAATAATGGACAGCACGTGATGCCACATTGGACGGGATTCAGATGCTAAACCCTTGGGGCTTGGTTACACATCGGACCTATCATATGAAACGTTGGCGGCAGAAGACTATTTATGCCAATGGAAGCCGCATCGAGTGACCAGATGACAATTCCTTTGTCGGACTGAGATAGGCAAAGTGAGATCAACTCACTCTGATACTAACTTGAGAAAAATATAAAGGAATTAGAATGAATTTGAGAGGGAGTAAATTTCCCTCTCGTAGGATCTCATATTTATAATAAATTTGTATACATCGTATACAATGCATAAGAGGGAAGAATAGAGAATTTGAAAAGATATAACTAGCAATTAGGTACACCACAAAGCACGCAACAACTTTACCACAATTATATCTAAGACTATTTATTTTAACAGTTTTGATACCATCTTAAAAATTAGGTTCATGTTTAACTTAAATCAATAAATCTGGCTTGTGAGGTGAGTGTTATCCCCCACTTATATACATTATTCTGACCTTGTTTCCAGTTAATGTGAGGCTTGGGTTTTTCCAAATAAGATTTTATCCTTTTTAGGATCTGATATGATTTTTCTTTCCTTTATTAGGATCGTAATTGGTGTAAATATTTCAATATTTAAACCTGCCGTTTACCAAATGTAATACAAGGAATGAAATCACTTGTTTCCCTAGTCTTTCAAATCAAATGTGAATTGCCTTCAAAGTTCAAGTTTATTAAATGTGTTTTTTAATTTTCATAGAGAAGCACATTAAATTCGATTATAGGACCTGAGAATTTGTTCACCACAAGTTGCCTTCATAAGATGATATTTAGTTCTTTGCTCCAAAACCAAAGGAAATTCTCACAATTAGAGGAAACTCATCACTCAAATTCAACTTGAGTTTAAGATTTAGAAGATGATGATTGAAGATTCCTATCTAGGAACCTATATTTTCCTTTTATTGATGTTAGCTTGTATCTTTGTTGAAGACACAGATGACATTTTATTGTTAATTATTGTTTATCATTTTTGGAGAATTTATATGTATATACTAAATTACATTAAAAATAAAAATTCCATAACAGTAGTTCTCCCACATCAGCACTTTTCAAGTCTCAGTATATACTGATATCCGGTATTGAAAGCAGTGCTTTCAGTAACAACCTCACTTTTTCCTTAGTATGTATTTTTTTCCTTCTAAGCACACATAGCATGCATATAGGCTTGGCAAGAATATTGAGGAAACAACATTTATTCCTAAAAGAAGTTAATCCTAAATATAGCATGGTTATGGAACTAGTTCTTAATGTAGGAAGAAAAGTGAAAATGAAATATTCCAAGAACCAACAAGGGCTTTAGTAACAGAAAGTTGCCGCAATTATCACACCTGAGGAAAAAGAAAGAAAGACTCATTAGGCCGATGAACAAGGGCAACCAGTGGATCCAGGTCTGGTGCAACAGTCCTTGCAGCAAGATGTTCTAAAACTACTCTCAGTGGTGCACCAAGGACGACCTCTCTTATTGATGCAACTTTTACCATAAAAGCATGTTTTTGATCTGCACAAGTTCAACAATGTTGTAAGAGAACATCAACAACCAAATAATTTAATCAAAATTGCTTTTTCTCTTCATTAAACCAGAATTATCTTTGTTAATATAACAGGAAAATTTGCATAAGCTGACCAATTTCAATAAGTGATGATTAACGAATTCTGAACAATCACCATACATTTTGGGGAGAAAAGCACTCATGTAGCCTTGGAAACTACAACATTAGCATTATTATAATTACTTCTAATAAGTACCAAAGCCCAAATTGATAAAAATATGATTTCGTTAGATTATATAAGGAAATATGATGTGACTTGATTACATCAATAAAGGGATATCTTAGAAAATATTTCTCATAAGTAATTATTGATTTATTCCTTATTACTATACCTCTTCTTTGTCATAAATAAGAATACTCAAGAGTGTACATTACACAACAAATTCATCATATCCTATACTCTTGTTTCTATCTCTCTCAATTAATGTTATCGATACCAAATAATAGAAAATATCAGCAACCCCAAAAATCCTCTATGAAAAGAATATCAGAAGCCATGATGGGTTATAGCGAAAGCATAGCGGAAAAAAAAAGTACAATATATAAATATAGATTAATAAGTAAATGTAGAAATATAATTCCAATGCTAAAACAATAAAAGACAATCATATAATTAATAATAATATAATGTCTAGAAATTTAAATAACAATAAAATCAAATCAAAATACCACCAAATTTAAGTTCCAAACTTAAAATAATATCAAAATATAAGATAAATGTTCTAAATTTCTAATTATATGGTGGATGTTCTTGAATTGCCTCATTTGATTGGCATTAGGGTTGTGGGAAAAAATGATTAAATGCTTAAGATATTGAGAGAATATTCTTGAGTAGAAAAAGAAAAAAAGAAGTTAGGGAGGGAGATAGCACTAAATGAAGAGGAAAATGAAAGAAAAAAAAAATAATAGAGGACTTGTAGTGGAACTAGAGGTGGCTGCAGTAGAAAGACGCCGTGGCAATGGTTGCAGGACATCAACAACGTTGTATAGGAAGATACAAACCTCATCTTACAAGTTAATTTTGAGGTTAAGTTAGATTAAAAGTATACTTAGTCTTATAGTGTTGATTAAGAGGAAACATTTGCTCTATTGACAAAGATGAATACTATTAGAATCATTATTTCATTGGCCGCTTATTTTGATAGGGAATCACAACAACTTGATATGAAAAATGATTTCTTGGGACATTTAAGGAAGAAGTATATATGAAACTTCCTGGTCTATTGAAGAAGGAAATAAAGTGTGCATCTTGAAGAAAGCCTTTTAAGGAGGACTCAAGCAGCTTGGTTTGGTAAACTCCCTCAATTTATGATCTCCACGGGATATCAATAGAATCAAGGTGAGCATACCCTATTCATCAACCATTTCCTAGAAGGTAAATTTACACTACTTTTGGTTTATGTTGATGAGATTATTGTTACAGGAACATGAGAAACAAGTCTTGAAAGAAAAACTTGTTTCTGAGCTTGAAATTAAGGATCTAGGAAAAATGAAGTACTTCCTTGGGATAGAAGTAGGTTACTCAAAGAAAGGCAGGCATCTTCATCTGCCAAAAAAAGTATTTTTTTTATCTTCTCAAAGAAACAAGATTGATTGCAAGGCCACTAGAGCTCCTATAGAACAAAACCATAGAATTGGGAGTGATGAAGGCAATTCTAATGTGAACAAAGGCCCATATCAAAGACTTGTCGGGAAGCTCATTTACTTGCTCACATCAGACCTAATATAGCCTATATTGTGGATGTAGCTAGTCAATTCATGCATGATCTAAGGGAGAGACATTTACAAGTTAGGAAAAGAATCCTTCAATATCTGAAGTCATGTCCACCATGGGGACTATTGTTCAAGAGGAATAGAAAATTGAAAATGGAAGTGTATACTAATTACAGAAGGTCTTTCCACCGAGTGATTTCATGATCTTACATGCAAGCTAGGAATTATAGATATCCATTTACCAACTTGAGGGAGAGTGTAGTTAGTAGGACAGTAAGTGTACTACTAGAAGTTGTTAGATAATGTTAGAAGATTCTAGAGATCTCTTTGTCATCATTACTTTAGGGTTAGAGATCTCCATATATAGAGGTTGATATATTGTTTCAAATCAATCAATTGAATAACAATATCATTTCCTTCAGATTAATCCTTTCATGTGATTCATTTTCCTCAATATAAAAAAAAAAAAAAAAAAAAAAAAAAAAAAAAAAAAAAACCAAAAAAAAAAAAAAAAAAAAAAACATCAATACTATCTCAAAAACACATAGTTTCAGTTCAATGTCTCTCCCTTTGTTGTAGTTAACAAGATGAACCAAAACAAGAAACATAAATATTTAGAATATAGACCCAAAGCATATATGAAACATGACAATATCCCATATGAACTAAATAACCATATTCACTCAGACAACTGCCCACATCCAACTTTTAAATTAAAACAAATAAGTGGTTCAATTATACACTAATTAATATATACAAATACACACACACACAAATATATAATTAAGGTAGGTAAATTTCTGAAGCTAAAAGAGTCAAAATAACATACTAGACCAATGAAAATTTGACACTTGTAATGCATAGAAAAACAGTAGCTTTACTAATTCAGCTTATGAGGAAAGACTCCTCCTAGAAAGGAGGATAGAAAGTTGAGGTGACAGTTTTATACAAAAACTCTTCATACCTTGATTTGCTGGAAGCTTTGACAGATTTATTATTAATGTGAGGTTAAAGCCATCCCTTGGAGGATCAAGAATTTGCACAAGATTACCATATGCAGCTTTTATTGCTTCAAAGGCTCCAAAAGGAAGCCCACGGACAAAAATAGTTTCTGAAGAAGGAGTAGGCAGTGAAACCGATAGCAGCAAAAGATGAGGATTCTTCATTGACACCTACAACCACAGTTGCTTGGTTAATGTGCAACCTAAAACTGTCAAAACTACTTAAATTTAATAAAAACTGTCTAGGGCTAAATTTAACCATACATGTTAAAGAATCAAAAGTGATAATCGATATATTTTCCTGACAATTGTCTCCATAAAAAATGTTACCTGAATATGATATCGAACATCATCAAACTCGACCCAGTGGTGATCCAGTTCAACTCCTTTTTCAAGACTGAAAAAAGTAATCAACATTAAAACTGTGTATATAGTTAAAGTTGAAGTTCACATTTCACAATAATTTGTTAATTGCGAATTAGCATGAAGAAGGGAAACAATAGACCTAGCTGCAAGAAATGCAGTTCAATTGTGGTCTCTTTAGCTGAAAGTGTATATTATATTACCACAAATTGTATAATTAGATGAAACGAAGTCAACAATTACACACTCCACATAAATGTAACAATAGAAAATGTTAAAAAGCTTTGCCAATTACCATCTAGTTTTTTTACATTGAAGAAGGGAAGTAGCTACACTTCATTACATGGAATTTTCTGAACCAGAGTCCCTATTGGATCTCCTTGACTCCAAGCCTATATGCTAGAAGGAAGAATCAAATTTGCAGCAACAAAGTGCCCAGACCACAGTAATCATGTGTGTTTTGACTAAGTCAATTTTTGCAGTGAAAAAGAATCAAGTTTTCATTTAGTGGAATTAATTTTGCGAAAAGTGACATCATTTCATTGTTTGAAGAGTAAAATTGATTCTAGGCATAAAAAGTGATTCCACTTTACCATACAGACAATCAATTCTTACTAGAACCATTTTTGACATATCATTCCCAAATTCAGTTTTTTTAAAACTAAATTTTCAATCTTTCCCACCTTCTGTGCTGAAATTCCAACACAATTTAAATCTGTTATTTCATATTTTACAAAGAAATAACAATAAAGGATTTCATTCTCCATTCTCCACTTTCTTGTCTTAGCAAGGTAGTCTCACTAGTCTTTACGTATTTGTATCCATTAACAATATGAGATTGCTAAAAGGAAAATCAATGAATACGGTGAGTCCAGCATGCCTCCCACCAAGAGAAAATATTTTAAACTCATCGGTTTATCTCATTCAGAAATCAATGGTTGTGATTTTCTTTTATTTTCCTATACTCCTTTTTCTCCCCTATTTCCTGTTACCCCTTTTTAATCTTCTCTTTCTTCCCCACTTCTTCTCCTCTTTCCCCACAGCCCCTTTCCCTCTTCTTCTCAACCAAAACAGCATGCCAATGGCACCCACAACCTCTACAATGTCACTTTCCACCACTGTCACAGCCTCATGGTGGATGTGGACAATGAGTGACATTCCAACACTCACAACAACATACCAAACCCACTGTTCCCTTGTGTTTGCTCTAATACCCAGGTTTTGCCCCATGATGGCAAACCTTCCAAAGGTGTCAATCTCAATGCATTTATCGATGGTTTTGAATTGTTAGAGTTGGAGATACAACAAGCTCACATCCACAAAGCTTGCACTTTAATTGTGCAAGTTGGTTTCTGTCAGGACCTTTTATCAAGACAAATGTGCAAAATAATGGTACAGTAATGGAAGCTTATGCTGCTAATGAAGCTTATTGTGGCATGAAAGGTCAAGCATCAGATGGGACTTTAGAAGAAATGAAGAACAAGAGAAACAATAGAAAAAAGAAAGAGATATAATGGGAATGACAGGGACAAAAAGAAAAAAGTAAAATAAATAAATGAAAATATCATTGTTGGCGTGAGGGAGTGTGTTGGAAGCCCCACATCAACTAGAGATAAGAATAATTTAGAGTATATAAGTGGATGCAAACCTCACCTTACAAACCGGTTTTGTGGGATTGAGTTAAACTTAAAAGTTCACCTCTTAACATGGTATCAGATCTAGGTGAGAGTTTATCCTAGCGATATTTGTTGTTTGTTGGACATATTGTTCAACCCGCTACCAGGCTGCTATCGGACCACCCATTAATGTCTAGTCCCACGCTCGAGATGTATATACCTTGGCGTGAGGATGGTTGTGTTAGAAGTCCTAGATCGATTAGAGATAAAGTCAATTTATAGTATATAAATGGGTGCAACCCTCACCTTACAAGCCGATTTTGTGGGTTGAGTTAGGTTTAAAGTCTACTTCTTAACATGATATCAGAGTCAGGTTAGAGCCTATTGTAGCGATATTTGTTGTTTGTTGGACATATTGTTCCACCCTTATTGTGCCGCTATTGGACCACCCATTAATGTTTAGTCTCATGCTCGAGATGTATATACCTCGGCATGAGGGGTGTGTTAGAAGTCCCACATCAACTATAGATAAGGCCAATTTATAGAATATAAGTGGGTGCAACCCTCAGCTTACAAGCCGGTTTTGTGGGGTTGAGTTAGGCTTAAAGTTCACACCTTAACCATCACAACCACTAACCTCTAAATGAGATGACAGGATAGGTATTAAACACTTATGGTGGGAGACATGTTATACTCCCATCGTAGCCTTCATCAAAAGAAAAATAGATATAACATAAAAACACCAAAGCTCTTTTGTGCCATATGAAATTTCCAAAGAAATTTTTTGGGTGGTTGACATTGTTGTGATGCGTCATCGAATTAATCATTAGTACTATATTTATTGAAAAGGAAAAAAAAAATCTCACTAAGCTTCGTTTCCCTCTCATCAAATTTCCTTACTTGTTAAGTATTCAACTGCACAACTACACCTGTTTTGTTGAGGGTGTGCACCCTTAAACTTCTAAAGTAAGTCCTATATTAGCCATTCTTATTCTCAAAAGTAGGTATCATTGCTTCTCTCCAAATCTCATATCATATTTGGTATTTTCTGCAATTACATTCTGAGTCTGCCTAATTCATTTTGGTGTTCCTTCAAATCTCCACCCCAAGATTGATGCCTTGGACCTGATCAGTAAGGTGTACACTACGAGAAATAAGAGAGTAGTAGAGGGTCAAAACTCAAAGGGAGATTTTTCTTTATAGCCTATTTCTTTTTTTCGCACTCTGAACCAATTTTCTATAAAGCACTTAAGCGGTCTTCCTTGTATGTCTCCATAAAATCCAAATCATCCTGACCATTTTCATGTCAACTTCACCACACCAATATCCCCTTGAAGACATCATTTTTTATCCTATCCTTTCCAGTGTGGAAACAGCCCATCTTAACATTCTCATTTCTAGGTAGAGAACCTAAATTTATAGAAGGCATGGCTTCTAAGTAGAAAAGTACATAGAAGTTAGTGATACTCAAAAAACTAAACTTAGATTCCACTTCTCGCACAACTCTCCTGCTATCTAACCCCAACTCATTGATGAAACTCGGTGTTCTTCTTCCAATGGCAAAACTATAAAGAAACCAGGATTTCAATCACCCTTCTAACCCTCCTTATTCAAGAATTTGTTCATTAATTAATCTCTCTCACATATAGAATCCCTTCAAAAACATTAGAAGAATAGCTCACTTGGTCAGCTTCTCATTTACTATATCATCCTCCCTCGATAGGCAATCCAAAGCCACTAACATTCCCATCCATCACCCAGAAATATCACCCTGGTTAATATATCTGGTTAGCTAAAGAGTGAAATTGCTACCACATGTTTTCAAGTCAAAGAGGAACTCGACCCAGCAGAATCTTTCCAGACTTCAAAAAATCAAACTAAATAGAAATTAGACAAAGGAAAAGAATGTTCCTAAGTAGCACAGACTAAAACTCCATCAACACAAGACACATTCCATTACATACTCCAACATTTATACAAAATAGATTGGATTACCTTCAATCTTACGCTTAACAGTTATCCGGAAAATTATAAGATAATACAAATAGTATTACTAATACAACAGAAAACTGATAAGATAACGTACCTCATGCACATTTGCTATGAAGCTAAAAAGCCCAACCAAAAACCTTAACCTAAATAAACCAAATATCCAGAAGAAAAGGGTGCATTTACAGTAATAGGCATCATCAATTCAAAGATATCGATTTTCAACCCTCCGGAAAGCATTAACCATTGGGTGAAGGGTCACAATTCTTGAATATATCAGTCATATGTCCAACATGCCTTGAACCACTCAACCTTCCTATGATGAAATTCAACTTCAACTTTAAACAACGGTCCGCGAGGATTAGGCTCTGAGAAGCACACTTTTTTGCACAAAGCTTAAACGCTGATGAATGCTTACACATATAACAAAAATAAAACCGACGCAATCACTTATTACTGAGACTCCGCGAACATGAAGTGCTTCCCAATAAGGAAGCCGTCTATGTTTATGTAAATATTCACCTTCGCGCCCTTAACCTCTATGTATCAGACTCTAAAATGATTTGTGGCTATAGAAAAGAAAACGAGCATGTTTAACCCAGCAAGTGTAAGCGAAGAAAAGGAGAAAGAACGTACTTTTGGGCCCGATTCAACAAGGTCTGGAGCAGGAATCTTGAATGAGACTGCAGGAGTATCATGGATCCCTCTCGCGGTGTTGCAAGATCCAAGCGAGGGATTCTTTTCTTCGTGATTGGGATTCAGTTTTGGAGCAGAGCAGAACCAAAATCATGCGTCGTGATGTGATTGATGACGACGATGATTGATTCGGTGATTCAATTGTGCTCTCATGCTGCCATGCCCTATATTAGTTACTACCTTTTCTCTTATGCTATGTAAATATTTTTAAATTCTAACTTCAACTTATTAGACTATCACTAGCTTATATTCATATAAAATAGGAATATAAATACATTGAAAAATACTTCAAAGTAAAGAAAAAATTTAAGTTAACCATTCATTATCATTTTTGAGACCAAAATAGATGAAAATATATTTCAAAAGAAATTAATCTTAATTTAATATAAAATTTAATTTTATATGCGCTTGTTAACCAATTTTTATTTTATTATTATTATTATTATTATTATTATATATATATATATATATATATATATTAATCCTTGATCTCCAAAATATTTTCCAGAAAGACACCAAGAATAAATTAGGATAGTTAAAATTGTTTATTGGAGAAGTAAAATCAAAATTTTTGTCACACGTTAATCATAAACCCAATTAAGAAATAATTGATGTATCAAATCATTTATAATTTTATATTTTTTTCACACTTTCTTTACATAATCATTGTTTTTAGGTTTAATTGGTCGTTTGGTACTCACCTTCAAGAATGTGTGTCTATTTGATATTCACTTTTTAAAAAATTTTAATTTGATCAAAAACAAAATTTGGGATTCGACAAGGCTGAGAGGACAAGATAAATTAGGATTTAGTTCGCAAAGAAGTGAAAGTTGGTTTGGAGGGAGAGGGTGTACCTGAGGTAGGTTTGGAGGGAGAAGGTTTGCTGATGTTGGTTTTGAGGAAGAGGGTATGCCTAATGTTGGTTTGGAGGGAGAGGGGTCTACTTGATATTGGTTTGAAGGGAGAAGGTGTACCTGGGGTTGGTTTGAAGGGATAAGGTGTACCTGAAGTTGATTTAGATGGAGAGGCTGATTGTCAAGAAGAACTTAATGGAAAGGGAAATTGTCATTGTGAAGAATAAGTTAATGTGCAGAGATATGGCCAGTGTGAGGAGGGTCTCAGTTAGGATGGCTTTTATCTTAGTAGTTGTAATAAGTCTAAACATAATGTTTTGAGTGAAGATGATTTTGTGGATGTTGTATTAATGAAAATGTAGTTGAAGATGAATTATGGTAAGATAATGTTGAAGTTGATATTAGAACTAAGTCATCAATTGGAATGTCATCTTTACATGATAGAGGTTTATCTGACACTAAATGAGAATCTGAAAGTTTAGACAAAGTTGAATTTATTGAGTCATCAGATGAAGATAAAGACCGATATGGGATTTTCTCAATGTCCAAAACTATGGAAGACTATAGATGGGAGCTTGGCACCTACTTCACTGAAAAGGAAGAGTTCGTTGAAGCAATTAGAACTTATGGTGTTCACAGTGGTAGAAAATGAAAGATTTTTAGAAATGACAAACGAAAAGTAGTTGTTAAATGTTGTGGTGCAAAAGGAAAATGTCAATTATATGCTTATTGTGCGTATAAGGCTGCATAGATTACATGGTAGCTAAGGAAAATTATCAACAACCATAGTTGTAGTAGGGAATTTAATGTTCGTCTAATCACTTCAAAGTGGTTAAGTGACAGGTTAGAGGAAACAATAAGATAAAATCTAAATATTAATCTAACTAACCTTCGAAACAAAATTTGTAGGAAATGGAACATTGGTGTGTCTAAGTCTACAACCTTCAGGGGAAAAAATGGCTTACAACAAATTGACAGTTGCTTCCAAGAACAGTTTAAAAGAGTATATAATTATGCAAACGAGCTTCTGAGGTCAAATCATAGATCTACAGTTAAAGTGAATGTGGAAAACAATGAGGACAACCTAATTTTTAAGAGATTATATGTGTGTTTGAAGGTGTTAGATATATTATATTTATTTTATATTTATCTTTTATCTTTAGTTAGTTTGTTATTATTATTTATTTGCATTTGGGCTTAGCCCATATTTTTTCTATTATAAATAGATGACCCTGTGTGTATATTTAACGCAAGGGAGATTAACCTCATACATATTTTTCACTATATTCAACACAGTATCTAGAACCTTATGTTCTTTTGAGAAATTTTTGTTTTGTTTCCTTTGCCATTACATCTGCTGGCGGCGACGCCATCTACCACTAACAGGGACGTTGTCATCTACAGTCGTCGTTTATCACTACCATTACTGGAGTTTCAGTTTTGATCGACGATATCACACGAGATATTCTCGGTCAGGCAACCATCATGTCGTCAACAATGCCTTCATTCGAGTTCTTAAACACTATCAGCGTCTTTTGAAGTTGTGGATCTACTCCCTTTTTCGTCGTGTATGATGGCACGTCTCGCAACGATTTACAGCGTTGAGGTCACTTTTTTTTCTCTTTTAAGTTCATTATGTGTGGTTGCATGTCCCGTCTTCTCTCAAGAAGCTATTAAGAGCATCAATATTGCTTTTCTTCCTTTTTGAGATGTCTTAATTAGAGAATCTTGTATTTTTAAGGTTTCTCTCTCCTATTTATCCATGGCTTCTTCCGCTGATGTCTCTTCTAACCTCTCTTTTGTCACCATTGCGTTTTACCTGTCCATATATGTTTTTTCTCGTGTGGCAAAGATGATCTTTTTCAGTTTATTTATATATGTGGTGGTTATTCAACAATGACATCTTAATCTATTGGGTGTCTACAATGCATTCCTCAATGACGATTTTTAAGAAGATATTTACATGGAGCAACCTCCCAAATTTGTTGCTCAAGGGAAGTCTTCTGGGTTGATATTTTGTATTCTATGTTGTCTTTGCAGATAATTAACAATTTGGTGTCACTCGAGTGTAGAATCTGATATTTTCACTAAGTCTTTATGGATTATATTAGTAATAGGCTTGGTACATACAAATTGTATACACTAGCTTGAGGAAGAGTGTTATTTTTTATTTGTATTTTGGGCTTAATCCATATTTCTTCTATTATAAATAGAGGACTCTATGTATGTATTTAACATAAGGAAAATTAAATTCATATATAGTTTTCTCTCTATTCAATAGAAGGCATGCAAGGATAACTTTATATGTTATAGGCCTATTATTGGTTTAGATAATGTTTTTTTGAAAGGAAAATATGGGAAGAGTTGTTATCAACTATTGTAAGAGACGATGGTGACCAAATGCTTTCTTTGACATATATTGTCGTCGAAGTTGAGAATAAAGAAACATGAACTTGATTTTTAGAATGATTGATTGATAATTTTGGTGGGGTTGAACTATCTTCAAAATTTACATTCATTGCAAACCAACAGAAAGTGAGTTGCATGCTTTTAGTTTTTTATAAATTTATTTTCTTAATTTATCATACTTAAACCATAATATTGTCAATAACTTCTTTTTATCAGCATTACAACAACTTTTACTTTATATGGATGAAAGGTTTTGTTTTTATTAAATATATACAAATTTTATGAAGAAATTCTCTAGAAAAATTATAAATGTCTATTATGGAAGAGAACAACCCACACACACTCTGAAGCGTACAAAACCGTCATGAAAGACATTAAAAAAATTAAATGCAATCATTTTAAAATTTACGATTTAATAATTTTTTAATATTATAATTAAGTCTAATTTTAATGGAAAGAAAATTAATTTAAATTACTTGTAAAAACATAAAAAGCATGAATTGAACTGCAATCAATAATTGCTAAGTTTGTTTTACAATTAGTTAAGAAATAAGTTTTAACCAACAAGTTTTGAGCATATAAAATATAGTTACTTCTCTTTCCATACAATTAAATTCATGTTTAAAATTCAGATACTACTTCTCTTTCTATACGATTCATTTTTCATATTTAAAATCCAGATATTCTATCCTATCTACTCATAATATTTTTCTTTTCTTAATAAAATGTTCTATTTTCAAATATCAATGAAACATATATGTTACATACATTTGTGTTATTCTTTTATAATAATAAAAAGTAATAAAATTATTATTATGGTTATTATTATAATTATAAAATGAAATATAATTTTTTTAATTTTATTCAAAAGAATTTTTAATTGTTTTTCTAAATAATTTTTAATTAAAAATTTAAGTTTAAGAAAATAGTCAAATAAAAGACAATTGAATTTAAAAAGAAATAATTTAAAAGATCATATCGTTAAAATAATTATTTTAATTTAAAAAATTATTCAAAGGATATAATTAGAAAGCATAACCCCCAATAAGAAAAAATCCCCTGAATATAGCAACAGATAGATGATTTTAAATGTATTTAGATTATAAAAGATTAAATTAATCTCTTTAGGAGTTAAAAGGTAAAACTAAGAGAAACGCCATTGAAGTGATGGAAGAAGTTGAAGGTCGGCGAATAAGGAGATTTGTGCCTCAAAGGCTCTCACGCCGCCGTCTTCTCCCACTTCACAGTTCTTCCTCTTCCTCTTCCAACATTTCCAACACGGTTTCTTGCTGGTAAATCACCTTCTTCGATTGTTTCATTTTCCTCCATCTCTGTGCGCATAGAACTTAATTTGTGTAATGTCTAAATGCAGCTATTGCGACTACAAAATCTCCTCATTTAACATACCTCTATTTCTCTTGGGTCGCCGATACTCCAGGTCATATTTTCTGTTCGGCATGCGCGCACGGTTCTGCTTTTTATTCAATATTTCTTACACTTGCTTTGCATGACTTGTGTATCTTATAGGTTTTTCAAAATATGGTTCTCAATTGGGGTTGGCTTTGGCGTCTCTGCGTTATTTGGAGTTTCTGTGGTGAGAATTTTGGTGTTCCTCAATTTTCTTTTTCTTATTAAATGTTTGAGTCGATGGTAAATTAGTTTTGGCAAGGTGCAATACAGCGTCTGGTATTAGTTCTTGAATGGTGGAAATTGTTGTTAAGGTCCTTGAATATACAGTTATTCGAAACTCTAATCAATCCTTGAGTGTGTATTCCATTTGTCAAATTAGTTATCGAGATTTATTACGCGAGGACTAATTTGAGTTGAGCAATGCATATTCTAAGTGCAATTTTCATCATTGAATCACTAGTATGACCAGCCGTACGGTCTTTTTGGATTTTTTTTTCATAGGCACTTCTAAGAAAAAAA